GGGGCAAATAGTCACTCAGCAAAAGAAATACCATTTGCTGTTTATAATATTCAGAGTCTTGGAATGACAATGATATTGCTAGATAAAGGCTTGTAAAAGTAATAGGCATATGCGACAGCACTAATTCACACCATCAGACAGATGGTTCGTAAGATTAATTACCATCACCTTCAATTGAACAACGTCATTATTAAATACAGACACAGGCTGATACACACACACACACACACACACACACACTCCACACACACACACACACGTACATGCATGCACACACACACACACACACACTCCACATGCACACACACACACACACTCCACATATGCGCACACACACACTTACTACAGGTAGCAGTGAACCGATGATTCTGCTTAATCTCACAGTGAATTAAAACAGCAGTTTGTGTTGCTTGAAATCAGCGTCTTCAGAAAGAAGTCTGTTTAGCATCGATTACATACAACTGGATCAATTACCGGAAAGGGATTAAACGTTTGAAGATAATATTAGTATAAATTAATGATAAACAGGCAACCTCATAAACAGCCTGCACACAGCTGTGCCCGATGCATGATGTTCTTTAACATACTTACCGAGTTTTACTTATGTTTAATTGTCTAAACATAAATTCATATAGGTTGGCCCATTGCTCTGTCCAATTTAATATCAATTTAACAGTATATACCATCAGAAAGGTATAATATAATACAAAACAACAAAGCCCAACCATTAATTAAGCAACCCGGAACTACTGTATGTAACCAATCACCCATCACTTTTACATCCATTCATAATTTTTACTACATAGTATAGTAAACAAATGGCCTTGAAATGCCAGCTGTCTCCAGCAGTGTTCGAAGAATCTTGAACGAGACTGTACCTGTACCCTAGGCGCAGTCTCATGGATATAATCTGTTGAGATCGAGTCAGGGATTGATACTCTTTGTAGTGGCAGCTGTCGTCACCGGTTACAGCATCATAGTGGCGTAGTGTGACGCTACCCCGTTGTTTCAGGTGTGTCCAATTTTCGTCGAATGCTTCTCGTTGTGCGGCGTGTATGAGAGATTTGAGATGATTTCGGGAGAGGGCGAAGGTGGCTTCAATATCTTCTTCTTGTGTCGCTTCTTTGGCAAGTTGATCAACAGTGTCACAGGCAGTTATTCCTATGTGTGACAGGATCCAAATATACCTGACACGGAGGTCATCAGTTTTTTCTAGCCGGGCGACGGCGGATTGGGTGTTGGCTGGCAGGGGAGGAGGGGGAGGGTAATTTTGAGCCTAGCTAGCGCAGAAGTGCTGTCACTGATTATTAGGAGGTTCAGGCGTTCAGTGCGAGCATAAGTCGCCCCCTCATGAATGCCCGCGAGGATGGCTATGCTTTCAGTGTAAGTGGAGGAGGCCCAGTCGTGGACCCTGATTTTCCTGCGGGCCTGGCGCTCAGGAATCCACACAGCTGCCCCAGCGCTGCCCAGCGTGGGAACAGACCCATCACAGTAGACGAGGATAGGAGGGTGGGAGGTCATAAGAGAGGAGGCGATATCATTAATCTGCTCAAGGCAGTTAAGTTTGAGCATATACCGTAGTTGGGTGGATTTACGACCAGGGAAGGTGTGGACGACAACATCAACACACGGGAAAGTCCACGGCGGTAGAGGCGGATGAGTGTACTCGGGAGGGAGAGAGGCTCGAGGGGGTGTAGAGGTGACAACGCAGGATGTCAGCAGCAGTGTGGACGGGCCAGTGTTGAGAGGGGAAGGGAAAGGTAATAGGGACAGGCCAGTACAGGAGGGTGTTAAGATGTGAGTTCAGTGAATGCGACAGGGGAGTCGGTTGCTCACTGCAAAGAAGTTTAACACCAAGGGAAGCAGGATCAGTTCATGCTGCATGACTTCTATTCTGGTGGTCATGGGGCAGCCGAGGATGAGTCTCATCGCTCTGTTTTGGATTTTGGCTATGCTTTGTTTCTCGCGCTGGTAGACAACTACAAGGACAGGAGAGGCATAATCTATGACAGCTCTGACGATATAACAATGTGCATGAGACGTAGGACCCTGACAGAGGCTCCTTTGAGGCCGTGGGTAAGGGACTGGAGGGGCCTCGTTTGTTGGCGGCACTGGGAGATGACGTGGGCGGCGACAGCGGAGGTGGTGACGCTGGTAGTGGCTCGCACGGGTAGACCAAGGTACCTGTAGGTGCGTACTTGATCGATGTCATGTCCTTGCAGAGTCAGCGGTGTCTGACGCCGGAAGTGTGAGATGAACTTGGTTTTAGTGTGTGAGATGACTAGCCCGAGTGTTTGATAGGTCCGGACGAACGTGGAGAGTATAGGTTGTTCATGTTGCACTGTAGAAATTTGAAGGAAAATATCATCAGCGTAACTTATGATTTGACCGTCTAGGGCGCGCTCAGCAAAGATGCCGTTGAGGCGGCAGATGGAGTTCATGAGAACATTAAAGAGTGTAGGGCTGAGTACACCTCCCTGAGGCGTGTCTAGATCAAGGTCCCTGATCGTAGAGTAGTGTCCCTGAAAACGGACACGAGTCTGTCGATGGGAGAGGTAGTCAGCAATCCATGTGAGGAGTTTGCCCTTCATATCAATGTGCGTGAGGCCCTCAAGGATCACTTCACTGTTGGCTTTATCAAAAGCACCCTTGAAGTCAACGAAGAGGGAGCTTTTGGCTGAGGTGTTCGCCATGTAGTGAGTGATGCAGTGAGCAGTACTCTTTCTGGGGCGGAAACCATAGAGGTCAGGGTGCAGGTGGGCTTCAATTTTCCGGTGGAGGCGGTGGCGTATCATGCGCTCCATCATCTTTGAGAAGTAGGAGATGAGGGAGATTGGACGATATTCATCTTGTCTGCCTGGTTTAGGGGCTGGGATGGTGGTGGCAGTCTTCCATAAGTGAGGAAGCAGTCCAGTATCAGAAGAGAGGTTAAATAGACAGAGGAGGCGGTTACCAGGGGTGGCAATAAGGGCATTTAGCACATCATATGTGACGTCGTCATCGCCTGGGGCGGTGGACCGACCGCGCTTAAGAGCATTTAGTAGTTCACACTGTGTGAAAGGCACGTCAGTGTCTGCAGATAGGTCTTGGTACTCGTAGATGCGCTGTCGGCGTTGTGGTTGCAGTGCGAGGGTATCACCTAAACCCCCACCCTCCTTGTGGGGTGACCTCAATGCCCGACACCCAAGTCTCGGCTGTCAGGGGCCCCACTCAAACTCCCGGGGTAATTCCTGGCTCTCCTACCTATAAACCACTGATGACCCTGTACGTCTTCACTGCCCTCCATCACCCACCCACGTCGGGGGAGGGAAACTTGACTACACCGCCCTCTACTCTGACCCTCACCGCCTACACTCCACCCGCATCCTACTTTAGTACGAGATCTACCAGGATGTTTACAGTAACCTAACCTAACCTAACCTAACCTAACCTAACCTAACCTTTCCCAATTAATGGACGCTTGGTAGACCGTACGGTCCAGTGTAAATATCCCGGTAGACCAGTGGTCCCCCAAC